TTTTTTTCCTTGCTTTTTCTTTGTTGATTTCTACTTTTATGGCTTCATGGTCAGAAAAGATGCTTTGTAATCTTTCAATGCTTTGGATTTTGTTAAGGCTTGCTTTATGGCCTAATATGTGGTCTGTTCTGGAGAATGTTCCATGTGCGTTGGAAAAGAAAGTATACTTGGCTCCTGTTGGGTGGAGTGTTTGGTATATGTCTGTGAGATCAAGCTGGTTGATTGTAGCATTTAGCTCTTCCACGTCTTTGCTGAGCTTCTTCCTGGATGTTCTGTCCTTCACTGAAAGTGGTGTGTTGAAGTCTCCTACTACTATTGTGGAGCTGTGTATCTCTCTTTTTCGTGTTGTTAGAGTTTGTCTTATGTATTTTGGAGTCCTGTCGTTGGGTACGTAAATATTTATTATAGTTATGTCCTCCTGGTTTATTGACTCTTTGTTGTCCTTCCTTATCCTTTGTGGTGGATTTTACTTTAAAGTCTATTTTGTCAGAGATTAATATTGCCACTCCTGCTCTTTTTTTAGTGTTGTTTGCTTGATATGTTTTTTTCTGTCCTTTGAATTTTAGTTTTTTTGTGTCTTTAAGTCTAAGATGTGCCTCTTGCAGGCAGCATATAGACGGATCGTGTTTTTTTATCCAGTCTGCCACTCTCTGTCTCTTTATTGGTGCATTTAGTCCATTTACATTCAGCGTCGTTTTGATGTCTTTTTTTGTGTGTTCACAGTTTCTTTCTTCCACTTAATTTTCTGTGCTGAGTCATTTTTCTTCCTGTATTTTCTTTTCATCTTTTTCATTGTTGTTGATTTTGTGTTTGCTGAGTCTTTATATTTTTCTGGTTTTTTATTTTGACTTGTAGGATTGTTAGTTTCCTTTGTGGTTCCCTTAATATTTACCCCTATTTTTCTAAGTTTATACCAGTCTTTTATTTCTTTATTTCGCCAAGGCTGTAACCTTTACAGAAGCTGAGTGCCACATCTTTATCCCACGGAGCTGTTGGTGGGTTGGAATCGCCAACCTTTCAGTTAACAGCCAAGAGCTTTAACCACTGCACCACCAGGGCTCCTATTATCATGAAAAATTCAGATTAAAACCACCAAAGGTAAAAGATTCGTAGGGTACAGTCTAGGAGAGACCAGACACAAACTTCCAGTTGTCCTCTGCCCATGGAGTTATGCGGACAGAGCTTATTTCTCCCAGCAACGTGTAACAGCACGCATAGAGTATTGCCAACCAGGAAAGCTCACTTGAGCCTGGGTTTTTATTGGGGGTTGGTCATGTAGATGACCTTAGTCTCCAGCCCCTCTGGAGATCAAGCTGATAGCATGTGGCCCAGGGCGCCCAGCATAAATCCCATTGTTAGCATAGACTACCTGGCATGGCTCAAAGCCCCAGGTAGGGTCTAGAGGTTACCTCCCAGGAGCAGAGCAAGGGCCAGACCTTTCTTTGGATTGCACAGGGTTTGGACAACCTGCTGAATTAACCCTTTACTGACTTTCCCTACAAAACGTTGGATCATACTACAAAGCTATATTTGTTAAAACAGTGTGTCCCTAGCACAAGAATTCACCTCCGAGAGCTGAGTTGAATGTTCAGTGAGATGTTACCTGTAAGATGCGCAGCAGGTGCCCAGTGCAAGGAGCTGATGTCTAGCCTGTGACTATTAACCCATGTCTATGTGGCCCGGGCTGGGCCTGTGTTTCCTCACCTCCCACCCTCTTGTCTGCAGCCCGGACGGCTACCTGTATGAGCGTGAGGCCATCCTGGAGTACATCCTTCACCAGAAGAAGGAGATCGCCCGGCAGATGAAGGTGACGGGGAGGAGGTGAAGGGGGCATGGGCGTGGGCTGGTGGTTTTGATTTTGAACTCACAAGCCCAGTAACTCTGGGCCCTCCAATCCATGCTCTTTTTTCCGTTTTGGGCCTTCACTTGTGCTGTTCCTTCTGCCTGGTATACCGTTCCTCCCACTTGTCCTAGGTACATACTCCTCTCCAGAGTTCAGCCCAGGCATGGCCTCCTCTGGCCACCTGCCAATCCAGGGTCCCCAGAGCCAGCCCTCGTCACCCGGCACCTCGTCTGTTAGCACAGGTCACAGTTGTGACTCTACATGTGACCATGTGACATATGCCCATCCCCCTCTACACTGCGGGCCACAGGGCAGGGAGCAAGTCTCTCTCTCGCCTACCTTCATGGCCCAAGGCCTTTGGTAAATGCTTGTTAAATTGATGGATAACACCTCATCTCTCTAGGCCTCGGTTTCCTCATATGTAAAACAGGCCTGTTATTGTTAGCGGCGGTCAAGTTGATTTCTGACTCATAGCAACCCCACGTGACAGAGTAGAACTGCCCCATAGGGTTTTGTAGGCTGCAAATCTACGAAAGCAGATGGCTACATCTTTCTCCTCTGGAGCCGCTGGGTATGTCTGAACTGCCGACGTTTCAGTTAGCAGCCGAGCACTTAACCATTGTGCCACCAGGGCACCTTAAAATGTACCTGACAGGAGCAAGTTATAGGATGCATGGGGAATGCTCGCAGATAAGAAGCCACACGGTGGTTGCTCCATGCCAGGCACTGTCTTCTGTGGGAAACTCATTTCCTACACAAGAGGGACCATGCTCATCACCACGTTCGAATTGCAGTCTGCCCCCTCCCCCTCCTCCCTGGTTCTGGAGCTCAGCAAACACTGAGGGGCTTATTCTTCTTGAGCTTTTTGCCTTGAGCTTGTGGCTCACGTGTGTCCCCCGCACGGCCTGGTGGCTGACAGCATGGGCTCTGGGGCCAGCCCAGCCTTGTGCCCATGTGATGTCACCTCTCAGGTCACCAAATTCTGTCTTAGTTATCTAGTGCTGCTGTAACGGAAATACCACAAATGGGTGGATTTAACAAATAGAGATGTATTTTCTCACAGTGAAGGAGGCCAGAAGTCTGAATTCGGGGCACCGGCTCTAGGGGAAGGCTTTCTGTCTCTGTCGGCTCTGGCGGAAGGTCCTCGTCTCCTTGAGCTTCTGCTCCTGGGCGATCTTCATGTGGCTTGGCATCTCTCTTCCCCCATCTCTGCTTCCTAGCTTGCTTGTTGAATCTCTTTCATATCTCAGAAGAGATGGAGTCAAGGTACACCCTATACTATTCCTGTCTCCTTAACGTAACAAAGACAGCCCATTCCCAAATGGGATTATAACCACAGACATAGAGGTTAGGATTTACAACATGTATTTTTGGGGGACACAATTCAAAAAGCATTGTGAGGATAGAATGAGTTAATCCTGGAAAGTACTGGAACCCCTGCCTGACTTTTTTGTTGTTGTTGAGAATATATATTACAGAACATTCACCAACTCAGCAGTTTCTCCCTGTACAATTCGGTGACATTGATTACACTCTTCAAGTTGTGCAACCATTCTCACCCTCCTTTTCCTAGTTGTTCCTCCCCTATTAACATATCCCCTAAGCTTCCTATCTATTCTTTCAAGTTGCTGTTGTCTGTTTGATCCTATGTCAAACCAAACCATTGCCATCAAGTAGATTCAAACTCATAGCGATCTTATAGGACAGAGTAGAACTGCCCCATAGGGTTTCCAAGTAGTAGCTGGTGGATTCAAACTGCCAACCTTTTTGATTAGCAGCCAAGCTCTTAACCACTGCACCACTAGGGCTCCATATAGATAGTTCTTTAAAAAGTACATTGTTCAAGACAGACATTCTTTAGTAGTTAAGCTTAACTGTTGTTTGGTTTAAAAAAGACTTCAGAAGATATTTTTGGTTTAAGGTTTAATGATTCTCTCAGGGCAGTAATTGTGGGGGTTCTTATAGCCTCCATGACTCTAGAAAGTCTGAATTCTATTAGAAATAGAAATTCTGTTCTGTATTCCCCCACATCTTTTGATCAACATTTTTCTATAGAATTTTTGATCAAAATGTTCAATAATGGAAGCTGGGCACCATCCAGTTCTTCTGGTCTCATGGCAAAGGAGGCAGTTGTTCATGGAGGCAGTTAACCACACATTGCAGGGAAAGTACTCTTGATAGCACCCCTACCTCTGGCTTCCCTCCAGGCTACCTCAGGCCCTTTGCTGGCCACCTCACTTCCTCTTCCCTGGGGCGGGTGGGAGGGTAAGGGGGAGGCCCCAATAAATGAGCATTAAGAGGGTCTCCCACCTTGTGGCCTTAGGCCAGAGGCTCTCTGACTCTAAGACACAGCTCTTTCCCCTGAAAAATGGGAATGGGGTTCTCAGAGGCTTCCGAGCAGTGCTTTCCTAGAGCAGCTGGCACACAGCAGGCACCTGATCGACCTCAAGTCATACTGAGTCCAGGTCACCCCGGGCCACCTCTGGACTGTCCCTTGGTGTTCCCAGCCCCTCGAGCTCAGCGAACAAACAGTAATTACCATCTTCTCTTACGTTGTGTGACCTTGAGTAAGTGGCTGCCCCTTTCTGATCCTCTGATGGGTCTGGGGGGGATGTGAACAGAGGTGCTCCCTGAGCCCAGGGCATGCTAGGCACTTCTAAGGGTGCTCCCTCATCATTGGGACCACGTTGGGGCCCTCCCAAGCACGTCATCATCAGTGTTACATTCTCTCTCAGCTGGGTGGCCTGGGGCAATCCCAAGAGCTGCTGGTACTGCCTTGGCATCTGCTGTCTGCCAGGCAGGGCTGAGCATGGGCTGTGCGTTATCAAATCTCACCCTCACACTTGGCCTGTCCTCCCTCAGCATTAAACCAGTTGCCATCGAGTTGACTCCGACTCATGGCAACCTCATGTTTGTCAGAGTAAAACTATGCTCCGTAGGGTTGTCAGTGGCTGAGTTTTCAGAAGTAGATTGTCAGGCCTTTCTTCCAAGGCACCTCTGGATGGATTTGAACCTCCAACGTTTCATTTGGCAGCCGAGCACGTTAAACATTTGTACCACTCAGGGACCTGTCAACATTAACATCTCATTATTCCACTGAAACTTGAGCCCCACCAGGGCAGGGACAGGGTCTGCCACCCCGTGCCAGAACAGGGTCTGGTAGGTGACACTGTCTAATAAATACAGTCAATATGGCTTATAGGTCACATTTATTGAGCACTTAGTATGTGCCAGGCAAGTATCTGAGTGCTTTTAAAAAATCATCTTTTGTAACCTTTCTCATGAACCTCTGAGGAAGGTGCCATTGTTAGCCCGTTTTACAGATGAAGAAACTGAGGCCAGGGGAGGTCATGGTGCTCATTGGAGGCCACAAAACAAACCAGTGTCAGAAGTGGGGTTTGAGTCTTAACGTTCTGGCTCCAGCCAAGCTGGCGACCACTCTGCTTCCAAGGAATAAATAACCCACCAAGTCCCAAGGCAGCTAAACTGGAAATTACCTAAGTGTCCTGTAGTATGAGAAGACAAAAGTAACGAGTAATGGTGGTGGATCCCCACCATAGAAAAATGTTTAAAAAAAAATTGCCATCAAGTCTACTGACTCATGGTGACCCCGTATGTGTCAGAGTAGAACTGCGCTCCATAGGGTTTTCAATGGCTTATTTTTCAGAAGCAGATAGCCAGGTATGTCTTAGGAACCTCTGGGTGGACTTGAACCTCCAACCTTTCAGTTAAGCAGTTACATGTTTACCCGGTGTATTGCATCTGCTGTCTGGTAAAGATTCACACCCAGGCAACCACCAAGCTTTACCAAACAGGGCTCTGCCAGGAGTATCCTTTGTGCAGGCCTCAGTTTACCCCCTGTGAAATGGGAGAACCCCCCTCTACACCAGCATGGCCTAGCCTCACCCCTCCCGCCCTGCCCCGCAGGCCTATGAGAAGCAGCGGGGCGCCAGGCGAGAGGAGCAGAAAGAGCTGCAGCGGGCAGCAGCGCAGGACCAGGTGCGCGGCTTCCTGGAGAAGGAGGCGGCCATCGTTAGCCGACCCCTCAACCCCTTCACTCCCAAGGCCGCTTCCTCTGGGAATGGCCCAGGTGAGCAGAGAGCGGAAGTGCGGTGGGAGGCTGAACGGGGTCTGGTGCCTTCCTTGTGCGGCCTCCGAGCCCCTCTCCACCGCCCCGGTAGATGATGCCCAGCCTGGACCCAGCGCGGGCCCGGCAAGCAAGGACAAGGACAAGGCACTGCCCAGCTTCTGGATCCCGTCGCTGACGCCCGAGGCTAAGGCCACCAAGCTGGAGAAGCCGGTGAGCCCCCCCAGCGGTCCGCGCCCACCTTGCAGGGGAGGGCATGACAGCTCGGAGTGGCCGCGGTCCCCCAGAGTCCCGAGGGCCCCCTCCTCTGGCACCGGCTCTGCACGCTGACCCTGCCTCTCCTGCCGCTTACCCTCCCCGCAGTCCCGCACCGTGACCTGCCCCATGTCTGGGAAGCCGCTGCGCATGTCGGACCTGACGCCGGTCCGCTTCACGCCGCTCGACAGCTCGGTGGACCGTGTGGGGCTCATCACGCGCAGCGAGCGCTACGTGTGCGCAGTGACCCGCGACAGCTTAAGCAACGCCACGCCCTGCGCCGTGCTGCGGCCCTCGTGAGTCCCCTGGGGAGGGGGACGATGAGCGGCACCACAGGGCGGGTGGGGGGGTGGCTCTCCAGGACTAGCCTCTGACCAGCAGCAGCCCTACCTTGTACCCCAGTGGGGCCGTGGTCACCGTTGAGTGCGTGGAGAAGTTGATTCGGAAGGACATGGTGGATCCGGTGAACGGGGAGAAGCTCACGGACCACGACATCATCGTGCTGCAGCGGGTGAGTGGGTGCCCCCATCCTTCACTTCTCCCACCCACCCTACCACTGCTCTGCCCCTCCCTATCCCGCTCTCACTCCTTTCCCTCTCCGGGGCCCCGCCCTCCTGCCCGCCCCCTCCTTGACCCCACCTCCCTCTCCGCCCCGCCCCTCCTGGGACCACCTCTTCAACCCTTCCTGAGGCTTCACCCACCTGCCCTCCCTCCCCGGGACGCCACCCCCACTGCCCCTCTCTGAGGCCTTGCGCTTCCCCTTTATGGGGCAGCCCCCACCGTTGCCCCATCCTCCCCGAGGACCCGCTTCTCTCTGGGCCCCGCCCCTTTGCTCCAGGCCCCTGTTGGCTCGTTGCCCCGCCCCCTTCGCCTTGCCTGGTTTAGGACCCCCTCCCCACCACTTGGGGCCTTGGTCCCGCCTCCACCAGTCTTCTCCCCTCCTCCGCAGGGCGGCACGGGCTTCGCGGGATCTGGAGTGAAACTGCAGGCCGAGAAGTCGCGGCCGGTGATGCAGGCCTGAGATGCTGGGCGGTGGGAGAACGAATAAAGGCGCTTGGACTCGACCGACGTGTGGCGCCTTCTTTGGCAGCGGGCTCTCGGGGTCTCAGCAGGCAAGCGAGCTTTGCACGCCAGCTGCGTGCAAGATGGAGTCACTTGTTGGAAAGGGTAGGCAAAAACTATTAATGTGGTGTCACATGAAGAGCAAAACCTGAATTGAACGCAAAGCACCGCGTTAACATTGGTCGAGTGGGCCAGAGTCGAAGTCTCAGCCGGGACCGCATGGGGGCGCCACTGTAATAGCTTAAACAGAAATCCTCTCGCAGTGTCGGGGTTCCCCCAGAGTTATGCCAGCCTTAAATCATGTGCGTGTCCAGCGCGATACTCTGATACTCCGGGAGTAAAATGTGATGAGATACACACAGGAAATAGGCGGTCAGCACCCCTCCCACACGCAGGACTGCTAGAGAGTGAAAGGGAGGAGGAAACCACAAGTGCAAAAGCCTGGGCGCCTGAAGTGCTTGGCAGGTTTGAGCAGCAGAGCAAGCGAGAAAGGTCAGAAGGGAGACCCCTTGGAGCTCGGACTTTATTCGGAGTACAAAGGGCAGTCCTTGAAAAGTTTTGTTTCAATAGTTTTATTACATAAGCAATATGTGGGCAGTGTGGAAAACTAGAACACACAGTCAAGCACAGATTTAAAAAATAAAGTCCTGACGTTTCTACTTTCAGGAGATCACCCGCTGAGTCCCAGGTCTGTACTTCCTGTCTTTCTTTGCATGCCCACATGAGAGTTATTTTTTTCAACCAAAGTGAGACCCCAGCGCACATACTGTTCCGGGCAGTGAACAGACTCCATCTTTCCATTTCAGTCAATGGCCATCTCATCGAATGCCCACACGCACCAGGAGTGGAGTGAACTTGACCGCAGATTTGGTCAAGCTCATGTCCATTGAAGGATGGGGCACAGACTCTGGCTTCAGTGAAAGGTTTTAGGCAGAAGACTAGGTGGTATCATCCTTGCACCCCAGAAAGCCCCCCACAAGACCCAGTGTTTGTACCCTAAAACCTTCTAGAACCTTTTTTGTCCCCCAGAGCCCTCACACCCCACTCCTAGGCCCCAGCACCTGGAAACTGTCCCCGTTCCTGGGCCTGTCAGTCTAAGGTCCTGTTGAATCACCACCACAGCCTGGGGAGAGGGGTGCTGGGACCCATTTCACAGAACAGGCCACAGAGGCTGAGAAGGCACAACATGCCCAAAGTCACACTGCTCAAGGTGTGACAGACGACAAGTTCATCCAGAGGCCAGATGCCTTCAGAGACCCTCTAGACCCAGTCCTGCCCTCCCCACCCTGTGTACTCTCCTTCCTGAGATATCCTCTTCACTATCAGCCCACAGACTTACGCACCCCAGCAAGCCCCATCCATCCCTTTAAACCAAGAGTGCCTCAAATCGTTCCCTCCTCCTGGAAACACCCTAATCCACATCTTTCTGAAGACCCCTCAGCAACCACCCGTATCACTCCAGTTTTCCCTCTCAGTGCCCCCAAGAGCCGCAATTCTGTTCAGTTCATCAGTGGCACAAACCACCCCTACCCCAAGTAAGAATTTCCAATTGGCACTTTTGATTTCCACAAAGAACCTAAATCCCATGCCTCCATTCACTGACCACTTGAAATGTCCTTCCTGTGGTGGGGGAGGAGAAGGAAGAGGGGCCAAGGTTGTTGCTGAAAGTCATCAGAGAAACAGAGGTTTGTTTGTGTCTGCCATTTAAGGTTGCAAAGGTAACCTGGAGAGGAAGCAAAAGTCACACTGTGGCTTGAGCTGTGTCAGGAGAAGGAAGAAACAGGAAGTGAGCCAAATCTTGTCTTTCCGAGCAGAGGTTCCCAAAACACTGGTCTAAAGTTTACAGCCCAGAAGCAGGTGCCGTGGGCTTATCTGGGGCAGAGTGTGCCTGCTGGTGGCTCCGCCTGCAAGAGGCCCACAAACAGTCCTTTGAAAAAATGGGAATCATTTGTTAAGATTTTAAAATGGAGAGATTTATTCTGGAAAATCAAAACAATAGGGATGGAGAGCAAATCTGTCTTTGCCAGGATTGAGGGAGGGATTGACAACAAAGGGGCGGTAGCAAGAGAGAATTTGGAGGAGGGTTGAGAAGTTACTGCTCTGTATCCTGATTATAGTAGGTTAAAAGATTGCAGTTGTCAAAATTCCTAGAACTGTATACCAAAAAGAGAGAACTTCACTGTTTGGGAATTAAAAATAAATTTTTACAACACAAAAAGCAAGGATCACAAAGACTCAAAAGAAGAAACTAGTCTACAGGACAGATAGTCTACATGAACCCTGAGACGTCATCTACGCTGAGACCAGAAGCACTAGATGGTGCCCAGCTACCACTACTGACCGTTCTAATCAGGACCACAATAGATGGACCCTGATAGAATAGGAGAAAAATGTAGACCAGAACCTCAAATTCCTAAGAAAAAACCAAACCAGACCTACTGGACTGGTTGAGACTGGAGGACTCCCTGAGATTATTGCTCTGAAATACTCTAAACCTTGAACCAAAAGTAACCCCTGAGGTCACCTTGTAGCTAAATAGCAAATCGGCTCAAAAAATAATATCACCCATTAGTACTGGGCTCTTTTATAAAAATCACCTATATGAAACCAAGGACCTTTGGCGGCACAGTAGTTAAATGTTCAGCTGCTAACCAAAAGATCAGCAGTTTGAATCCACCAGCCACTCCTTGGAAACCCTATGAGGCAGGTCTACTCTGTCCCATAGGGTCGCTACAAGTCGGAATCAACTCAACGGCAATAGGTTTGGTTTGGTTTATATGAAACCAAACAGTCAACAATTACTTTAAAACAAAGATGAGAGTGTGAGGGGGGTAGGGAAACCAGATTAAGGGAAATGGAACAACCAGAATGGAAATAATGAGAATGTTCATGCACTGTGAAAAATATAACCAATGTCACTGAACAACCTGTGTAGAAATTGTTGAATGGGAACCTAAACTGCTGTGTAAACCTACCAAAAACACAATAAAATATTATTTAAAAAAAGAAAAAAAGCAGGAGTAAGGGGAGATTTCATGTGAAAAAGCAGATTTCTATTTCTCTTTTAAAAATCAGCCCAGCAATTCTGCTCCTAGGTATATACCCAAGAGAAAGGAAAACGTATGTCCACACAAACACTTGTACATGAATGATCACAGCAGCAGTCAGAATCAACTCGACGGCGCCCAGCAACACTAAAGCAAAAGGGGCAGTGATGGTTCAGTGGTAGAATTCATCCCTTCCATGAGGGAGACCTGGGTTCGATTCCTGCCAGTCACCCTCTGTCTCTCAGTGGAGGCTTGTGCGTCGCTGTGATGCCGAACAGCTTTCAGTGGAGCTTCCAGACTGAGACAGACTAGGAAGAAAGGCCTGATCATCTTCTGAAAATCAGCCAGAACTGATCACGGAGATGCAATATTTCAAAATAAATAAAATGTGCAAAACATTAAAACAAGCACAATTCTGGGAGAAAGACACTAAGGGTGACAGGCTGCTGGGCAGCTTTCTCTCATAAGTGGTTCTGTACAAGTTGTGTGTGTATTGCCTTCATAAAAACACCAAAAAATGTTTTTAAACATCCAGCTCCCAGAGATTTACAGTTCTACCCAAAACCTGTTGCCATTGATTTGATTCCAACTCATAGTGATCAACTGGACAGAGTAGAACTGCCCCATAGGGTTTGCAAGGCTGCAATCTTTACGGAAACAGACTAACACATCTTTCTCCTGTGGAGCCACTGGTGGGTTCCAGCTTCCCACCTTTCAGTTAGCAGCCTAGGGCTTAACCACTGGACCACCAGGGCTCCCTCCAGCCACTAGGAGGCAGTATATTACCATAAGTCAAAACTTGAAGACACTTGGATTCAAATTCCCTACCATACATAACAACTCTAAACTCTGGGTAAAATATAAAACAATTACCTGAAGCTACTGAAAAGGACCAAAGTCAGGCTGAAACTGGACGAAAATGACACTTGCAAGAAAGAAAAGGCATTGGATGAGTTTTTCTTTTTTAACAGCTTTTCCCTGTGGGCAGATTCTAATCTACGCCATAAAGGGCAGCTAAAACACCCGGGGAAAAGCCGCAGTCTTCCTAGCTTGAAGAAGCAGAACACAGGATTCTTGGCAAACACAGCAGCAGGAAAGTGAGGAGGTAAATCGTGGAAAAGAGAGAGCCAGAGAGAGGGTACCCCAAATATTTTGTAAACCAAAAAAACCATTGCCGTCAGTGACCCTATAGGACAGAGTAGAACTGCCCCATAGGGTTTCCAAGGCTGTAAATCTTTATGGAAGCCGACTGCCACATCTTTCTCCTGTGGAGCGGCTGGTGGGTTCCAACTGCTAATCTGTCAGTTAGCAGTCAAGTGCTTTAACCACTACACCATGAGGGCTCTCTAAATATTTTGTATTAAATTTGTAGGTTAAATGTACCTATACAGCTGCAAGGTTTCTTCATTTCCCATACAGCGGTCAAGAAAGATGACCTTAAACCATGCTTGCATGGGGCAAACTCCAAGAAGCCCAGCCAAGTCTAAAAGAATTAAACTAAAATTTGAGTTACAAATTCCGCAGGAGAGACAGAGTCTACAGAGGTTACAGTTTGAGTTCAGCCAAGTTATTGAGCTACTTAGAAAGAAAAAAAAAAATCAGTAATCTAGAGGAATATAACAGACTCCAGAACTTCTACAGTGTATCTAAGATACAACCTAAAATTACTCAATAAAGAAAATCTCACTGCCATTGAGTCAATTCCAACTCATAGCAACCGTACAGGACAGAGTAGAACTGCCCTATAGGGTTTCCAGAGCTATGAATCTTTACAGAAGTAGACTGCCACATCTCTCTCCCGCCTCAATATAGAAACAACAAGGAAAATAAGATCCATTCTCAAGAGAAAAGAAAATCAACTCAGATCAACACTGACATGGCCCATACGTTGGAATAAGAAAATGAGGTTTTTTATTTTTATTTTTATTGCACTTTAGATGAAGGTTTAC